CCTTCACCCACAACAATTTTTCATTGTCAACTATCTTTATCATATTTACTAATTACTTTAATATTAAAAATTTGTAAATTTACTTCGTTCAGAATTTAAAAAAATATATTACGATTGATTATTTTGTGTTCCTAGACAAGACAACTACTATAATCATTGATTCATTATCCTCATGCTAGTGCATGTTTACTCTGTGAGATGACAATGTTCTTCCCCGCGGGAAAGATCCGGCGCCGAACTATTAGCTGGCTTCTCTACTAGCGCAGCATCCCCCCAGCCAAGACATGCTCTAAGCTTCCGACTGGACTCCCGGCATGTGTGGTAGTGTAGTTATTGTAAATGTAAGAATGTGTAAGAGAAGAGGAAAGAACATCGCTTACAGGCAGACGCTGCTTACAGATTCTCTTGTTAAGGTTCTGCTCCAGCATTCGGATGGTATTTTTCGGGTAAATCTCGTGAAACATTCAATCAGAACAGCCGAATGGCCACTGGTGTGTATCTCGGGCGACCGTGAGTTCGTCAATAAGTCTTAAGATGGCTACATACAACGTAACTGCAATTTTCACAAGCCTACTTTACTACTCTCTTTTAACAAGCAAGCACAAGTTATGTTCGATTCCGCTTATAAGCATGCTTTAAAAACGGTGGTATGTGCGCTTCGCATGCATCAAGTATATCGATCGATGTCAAACAACATCGATGAGTTCAGTTTGGCTGGTTTGGCTCTTTGTACGAAAGAACATCGCCAAAGAATAATCATGAATGTTGATGTAGAGAATGCAAATAAAAGTCTATTGCGAAATACATTTACTAAATGAGATTATGTATCTGCGCATTAGCACAATTATTTCAGGATGCATGTAGAAACCTGTTCGATAAATTGCTTGCGGTGACACCTTCGATTAAATACGGTTGCGATCATGAATGGAGCTGTAACAATTCTAGGCAATTTAACAAAAATATTGTACTAACTTGTACAGTTATTGGTCGTTCCGCTTGCACACGTACAAACGTGTATCGTCGACTTTAAATAAATCTTAAAGTCAAAAAAATGTCCGAAATTATTATTCTGGCCTTCATACATTTGCAAACGGCTTGATCAAGCAAGTTTGCCATAGAGTTGAAAACCAGTCAATCTGAGACTCAAATTCCCACTTCCGGAATCGTCTAGTAGTTGTTTTTCTCGTAATTTTCATCAACGTCTCCGCTGGGAGCGGACCGGTTTGCCTTCATTGCATCTGGGGACTTGCATAATACTCCAAGGTTCACTGCATATTGATGGCGCCCTTGTACCCATAAACGGAGTAG